ATGAAAATATGCCGCTCAAACACTATACTTTTCTGCTCACACTGAAAAAAAATTAGAGGGAACATTGCCTAGAAGATATTGGAACAGAAGCCCTTAATTATGCTACATTCCCTAGCTAATAGCTCTTCTTACTCCTATCCATTATATTGTGGCTATACCTTTGACTTGTACCATTCTTCAGTCTCTTGCATATTGTTTGTGGCCATGGACTCATACTGGATGCGGATCTCACGCAGGGCAGTTGTCAAATCAGGCTTGGTCATGTCCATCTCAATGTGAACCTGTTGCTGCTGCAAATATTCCCGCAGCTCCCGCAGTTCCTGAGAAAAAGATAAAAAAGTTTTTAAACCAATAAAATCAGACCTGGGGGCAAGGCTGGGTTTCCCTGAAGTGGAATGAAGCAACCCTAGAGAATGTAGATATACAACATCACACAAGTGGTATGGGAAGGATAACATGGTTTGTGCACATGTTCTTTATTTGGTATACAGGGGTGGCTGAATCATTAAAGCCACCTGCTTTCATTTGTAACAAACTTTCTACACACTCAGAAAACAGAACCTTTCCAGCAATGGCACCTGATTTTCTGGAACCCTTTCTCTCTCCTCCCTCAAATATCAAGTGCTTCAGTTTGGAGCAGTTTTACCTTACCATTTTGCAATTGCTTGTATAAAAGTGGTGTCTTAAAGTGAGTGGTGATCCCTGATTGTTCCTTCCAAAGCACTGAGGGAGATCTATGACCTTTGGGATTCATCACTGACTATTGGGATTCCCTTTTGCCAGCTTTTAACACAAGGCTGTCTTTTTCCTTTCTAACTAATCATCCAGTCAATTTTATTTCACACTGCAACAACCAAAAGAGAGACAGAGACAGAGAGGAGGGGAGGGAGGGAGGGAGGGAGGGAGAAGTCCTCATAAAGAACTGAATTTAAGAATTTACAGCCTATGAGATTATTTGAAGAGCAATCTTTAAAAGGTTTCCACAACGAAAACTTGGGCAGAATTTGCAGGGGAATTGTTCCAATTATGCCTGCAATGTCAGTATTAGTTTCCCCCAATACATCTACTGTTAAATTTTATTCATGTTTTTTTCATTTTTTAAAATATTTATATTTCACCCTTCTCTAGATTATTCAAGGTATTATACATGGTGCATGTGATGGTCTTCCTACATGGATTTTCCCAACAGTTCTATTGAGGTAGGTTGATAATGTCTAAAGTTTCTTGGTCACCCACCTCACTACATTACACAAGTATGAGATACATACTTCATAAATTCAGAGGAACAATCAGTTGCTAAAAATTTCATATGCTCATGTGACAAATAATACTGTGTTTGTATGTTTGTTGCTGTTTTAATACTATTTTTTGTCAGCAAAGTAGATCAGAATTCTCCTTCCTGTGAAGAAAAGAGTAACACTTTGCCCTACTCTAATCTTCCTGAGATTACCAAAATGGAGCACTTATCTCTTTGCTTCCACTCTCCTCTTTTTCAAGTTGCTCGTTCTTTAATCAGAGCAGTATAAAATGTCATAAAATTTTGTATCAGCAAAAGCAATCATAATCTACCTAGTAAAGACTTACTATCTCTATAAGTATTAATTTAATGGGGATTGTAGAATGCAAATTGATTTTATAGTGTTTTTGAAATTTTTGCTTTTTTTAACTAAGAATTTTAATTGTGGTTGAACCTGGAGTGTTGGTAGTATTATAACTGTTGTTATTGTTAGTTATAACACTTACTGAATAATTTCACAATCCCTATAAAATGGCTTGGCTTGATTTTGTCTTTTTATATTAAGCTCCTCAGGAAGCTTTCTCCTAGTCCTAGTGATATGTTAGCCCAGTGTTTTTCAACCTTTTTTGTGCAAAGGCACACTTTTTTCATGAAAAAAATCACNGGGGCAATATGCTGACTCTCTGTAAACCGCTTAGAGAGGCCTGAAAGGCCTATGAAGCGGTATATAAGTCTACTGCTATTGCTATTGCTATATAGAAACCAGGCAGCAGAAACAAACAAAGCAGGATGCAGGCAGTGCGCAAAACCACTCCGTTCTGCAGAAAAACTTCTCTTCATGGAACCAGTCCAAAAAGTTGGGGACTGCTCTACTAGAAGTAACCTCCTGACCCTATCTGGTCCTCCAGGCTCTGATGCAGGTTCTGTCATGAGTACAGGAATCATAACTTCTTGGGTGGGGGGAATAAAGGACAAACCTGAAAGGGGCAAATTGGAAAGAGGTTCATTAAGATTAAAAATGTTTATATCTTTCCTTTACAAAGAAAAATTCAAGAGGAAAACCCAGAAAGTAATTAAATTACATCTATCTAAAATTCAGCTTTCTGAAATAAGGGACTGTCCCTAATAATAAAGATGTGTGCTCGCTGTAATTATGGGAGCTACTCCTCCTGATTCACTGTCTTTCACCTTCCTCTTCTAGGCAAGTACCACACAGGATGGAGAATAGCTGGCGGTCAGACCTGTTTGGTGACTCACCACCATTGGGGCTCTTTAACAGGTCTTAATTGGTGTCCTAGTTAACTTCTACAGAGCTTCTTCATAAGAATAGCCCTAGGTCTGTCTGCTTTTCCCCCCTGGTTGAATTTCTTTCGGGCTTTGACATTGCCTTTGTTTCATAGTATCAGTTGCTGCAATTTCAGGCAATTCTTCAGATTTTCAGCCTATCCATTCTAAGGAAAAATATCTGGCTCTTCCCAGTGGAAGTGGTGACTTTTCAGTCCCTTTGGCCAGCTTCAAGAGCATGGAAAATATTTCCTTGATCTCTTGCCTGGGCTTTAAATTATTTCTTTCAGCTTGCTGGTACCATAATCTGTTGGGATTTTTTTTAAAAAAATGGAGGAAAGAGACCTGCAGAGCACTCCTTTTTTACATGTTATGCAGCCTGTGCTTCCCTAGAAACCCAGCCAGCTCCTTCTTTTGCCAGTTCCTTGCTTGAAGGAATTGCAAGAAATTAACGTAAGGAGAAAATTTAAAATACGATTCCAGGGTGATATGGTACAATTTATTCTATAACTTCAGGACATTAATACTCTGCTTTGTATCTAGAGCAAAGCTAATTTACAAATGAAGGCTGCAGTTTTCTGAGCGGGCAAGACTAACCACTGACAGGATTCTCAACAATTTCACTGGTAAAGTTGTTGTGCAACAGAATCAGTACAAGAAATGGACCTGCATTTTACCTGCCCTCTTCTCCCTCCAAGAGTTTGCGGTAAGTAGCAATCTCAATATCTAATGCCAGCTTGACATTGAGGAGCTCTTGGTATTCCTGGAGATGACGAGCCATTTCCTCTTTTAAGTTCCGACTGTCTTCTTCCAACCGAATCACTGTGTCATGATAGTTGGTAGTCTCAAGAGTATAGCGGTCTTCCATCTCTCTCAGTTGTCTCTCCAAAGATTCATTCTGCCAAGAAAAAAAGTTTCCTGATAAGGCAATAAGACAATAATCAACCACTACTGTACTCTGCACAGAGGAACAGTCATCTCCTGGCTGCAGCTCACAGGAAACTCTAAGTGACAGCAATATTGATCACACTATAGTCCCTAAAAGTAACCAATTCCCAGAATTACTCAATCAACATGACCACTGTTGAGAATTCTGGGAATTGAAGTCCATACATCTTAAAGTTGCAAAGGTGTAGAAACATTGGTCTAAAAGGAATTGAGTGAGAAAAACAAACACAATTTCACATATTTTAAAATTTTGTCTAACGAAGACACATACTTTTCTGGTATCTTTGTACTAATAAAAATATTAAAATACAGAAAAGGGCAATTCCTGGAATATAAAGAAAGTAAAAGTTACATTATTTTTATTCAAAAAGAATTCAATTGCTGTCAGCACAATTGATGGAAGGGCTTTTGAGGTTCCATATCACCCTCTAATGCAGTTATGTAGACTGGCCACTGATGGAGCAGTTTGTGTGTGTGTGTGACAAATATATGATTTCAGTTAGTGGGGAAATGCTCTGTTTTATCTCATAATCTGAAGTAACTGAGGAGAAAGGTATTAATTACCCTCACTCTGCTATTCCAGAAACTATGAGTTGGGACCAGCCAACCTCCTGCTAGCCAGATGTTTTCAACTTTTTGACTTTTCCCAGCATCAGCTCTACCTACCGATCCTTTAAAAGACTCCAGATCACAAGTGAGGGCCTGCAGTTGCCGGCGGTACTCATTAGCTTCCTGCTTGGCTAGACGCAGTGCCTCAATGTTTCGTGCTGCGGCATCACTCAAATCTGCAAACTATCAGATACAAGTCAGTTGTTTTCAAAGCTTGCAACCAGAAATTTAAACAATGTTATCTGACCTTTCCAATCCTTCATCATCTCAGTTCCTGAAGATGACCATTTAACAATTCCTGGATCTGTGCCATAAGGAGTCTTTAGCTTCCCTATCAATGGAAACACTAAATCTCAATTCAAATGGGCAGAGGAGAGAAAAATCAGAGGTTGGCAATTTCCATATAGTACGTAATACGAAACAGTTAATCACCTGCTCTTTGTTGACTGGGTTTCAAATTGTTTTTTAATCAACTTTTTAAATAATAATAATGAAGGCAATGACAACAACAGATACAGTTGGAGGAGAACAAAAGAATCTTTGATTTTAGCCACATATCCCTGTCCTTATTCCTACAATCAAAGTAAATATGATTCATCTTCCCCTCAAAGGAGTTTCACTCATTTGGCAAAGAAGTGAAATATAACACCTGCCTAGAGCCTGCTAAATAGGCAGCACTTTTTATTTTTTGCAAATAACATTGATAGTCCACATTTCTGACAGTGGAGAGAAACTTGTTGCTGCCCATCCTACTCCAGTCAATGTCCTATATCTTGATTAGCCCTGTCACCTTTTTTAGTACCATGTTTCCCCCCAAATAAGACAGGGTCTTATTTTCTTTTGACTGCCAAAAAAAGCACTTATTATTTTTGAGGTGTAGGATGCCCCTTAACCTCAGCCCATGGCCCAAAGATGAGTAATCCAGAGAGGGCCAGATGTTCTGTCTTTGTTTCTGGGACACTCTTACCAGCCCTAGTATCACTCGGCCTGCCCCTCTTTTTGGGGTCATCACTAAGAGAAAGGGCATGGTAGCTAGGGTTTGCAGGAGCAGCCTCTGCGAGGCTGTCCTGCATGGATGGCAGGTGCATGTGGGGCATGTTCCCCCCTGCGCCCCAGGAAATGGTGGGGACCAGCTGCAGATGCATTTAAATATTTTAGGGGGGGGCTTCTTTTTTGGGGGGGAGTTATTTTAGCGTATTTACTCAAAAGCCCGATTAGGCTTATTATCTGGGGTGGTCTTATTTTTGGGGAAACAGGGTATGATAAATGCTGCCTAAAAGCACTGTTCCCTCTAAGGTGCGCGGCTGTGCGGCCGCGCACATGGCAAGAAAACCCCGCGCAGCAGTTTCTAACTGCCGCGCAGAGATTTCTNTTGTCAAATGCCTTACTGAAGTCCAAGTAAACTATATCGACAACATTCCTCTACTCCACTAATTTTGTCACTTTGTCAAAGAATGCAATAAGATTAGTCTGTTATGATATGTTTTTGACAAACCCATGTTGGCTTTTGGCTATTATTTGTTTGCTTCTAGTGTTTGCTGATTCATTGTTTGATTATCTTTTCCAGAATCTTCCCTGTATTGAGGTCAGGCTGAGAGGTCTGTCGTTTCCTGGATCTATTTTTTTTCTTTTTTAAATATTTAACCTGATGTCAGTAATGACACAGGTAAGTAAGTTGGTTTACTTATATGAAACTTACATGAATTGCATGAAACCTCTCACAGTATTGCCAAAATATCTGCCTATTGCAAAACACTAAAATCAGGTTGGTTCTATCTGTCTTTCCAGCTTCATGGATTTTGTTTCCCCAGCATTGAAAGCTGGAGATATAATACTTTTGTTTGGCCTGAGAGTTGCTGGATATTTTGGAAACTGTGGTAATCTTTCACTGGTGCAACCTAAAATTGTATTTTTTTGCAGTTATATTTCACTACTATTTGATATTCAGTTTACAGATGCATTCTATTCTAAGATCTTTTTCACATGTGCCCATATTAATGTACACATATTGGTGTATTTGATTATATTTCTTAAAAGAAAATTTTGCATTTCTTTTGGTTAAATTTCATTTGTTTCAGATCATTTTTCTAACTTAAAGCAATGCTTTTGAATTTTATTTCTATCTTCTAGAGCTTGCTATCTCACATAATTGTGGGTCATCTGCAAATCTTATAAGTGCTTCTTCCGACTTCACCTAAGATTTTAAAGAAGCTATTGAATAGTACAGAACCCCCAAGAGAGAACCAGTTTGGTATTCAGTAGTACTTAAGTCACTAGACTAGAAACTGGGAGACTGTGGGTTCTAGTGCCATCCGGGTGATCTTGGGCAAGTCACTTTCTCTCAATCTAGGAAGGGGGCTATGGCATATCACTTCCAAAATCTTGCCAAGGAATCTACAGGACTTGTCCACACGGTCGCTAGAAGTCAATAGTGACTTGAAAGGATCAAAGAGAGAAACAGAGAACTAATAAACTAATTTGTTTTTTGCTTTTGTCAAATCCATCTTGATTTCTAGTAATTAGGTTAATTTTCAAGATTCTTTCAAAATGGTCAAGAATCTTCTCAAGTACAGTATCAGTGCCAAATTGATAGGTTTGTAGTTTGTTGCAGTATCCTTTCCCCCACTTTTGAAGATAGTGATATCATTTGCTGTCTCCAGATGCTTGACATTTTGTTGATTCTTAACAATTTCTCAAAGATTAAAAAGTATTCAGCCAGACTATCAATAAGGTGTTTCTTGAGTAGCTAGGTATAGTTCATCTAGCTCTGGAGATTTAAACTCATTCGAAGTAAATAAGTATTCCATGATTATCTTTTTATCAATTTCAAGTTTTGGTCCTGTTCCTTCAACTTGCTCTTAACCTCCTGATGGAATACATTCTTATTTTTGTTGGAGAAGATTGAAACTAAATAGGAATAGAATTTTTCGTTTTTTGTTTTTTTTGTTTTTTTTTAGCATTTGGTCTTCTTCATTGAGCAATTGTTTAGTCTCTTTCCTTCTCTGTTTAAAGAAGCCCTTTTTGTTATTTTTTAGCATCCTTCACTAACTAAAGCAGTTTTTGCTTTCATAATACCAATCTCAGGCTACTTATTTCTATTATTCTTTTGTGATGTGACTCTTTTTCTGTTATTTGTGTGCATCTTTTTTTTTTTTTTTACAGATTTTCAGTAAAGTTTTAATTTGTTGCATTAGTCTTTTCTGCTATCTTCATTTTTATTTCTTAACTGGAATTGTTTGAAAATGTGCTTTTACTATCTCCTTCTTTTGGAATTAGGCAACTAATATACTGGTGTTTTTCTTAAAGAGAGGGGAGGCAGGTATGTTATGAGTTCCCTTCCTTAAAGTGGTCCATCTAGTGCAGGGTTGTCAAACTCGGTTTCATTGAGGGCTATATCAGGGTTGTGTTTACCTTAGGGGCCACGGTGGACATGACCAGCTCAATGTCACTCATGTTGGGGGCACTTGTGGTGGGCCTGAGTGCTCTGCCAGTGAAAATGGGCTCCCAAATTCTGCAACGGCCTCCTGCAACCCTCTGCCAGTGAAAATGGAGCTCACGAGGGCCATGTCCAGTCCTCCTAAGCTCTTTTTTTTGGTGGCAGAGGCACCATGGGCCAATCCTTCACTGTTTTCATGGCAGCTTTGCAAGATCTAAGCATCCCTTGGGCAAAATCTGCCCCATGGGCCTTGAGTTTGACACCCCTGATCTCATGGGACCAAGAAGGATCTTCTTTGTGGTGGCTCCTCTGATGTCCCTGTGGAACATCATCCCCTTAGAGAAAAGATTGGCTCCCACCTTAATACTCTTTTTAAAAGCCCTGAGAGTATGGTTTTGTCAATGGACCCCAAGGTGATAAGGAGCCAATCAAATTGTTTATTTGATTGTTGATGCTGAAGTTGGGGGTGAAGTTTCATTGGGTTTAGAGTTGGAGTTTCACTTTTCTAAGCCATCTGGAGTTACCATGAGTGATTTGAGTGCTATACAAATTTTGTAAGTGAATAAATAAATAAAAAATAAATATCTCATTCTTTTTTTCTCATTAGCTTCTTCTATGAGTTTCTGCTTATAATTGCTCTAAATTTATTCTATTCTGATTTTAAGCTCCAAAATACATCTTTATCTATCATCACCACAGAACTCCATAATGACTATACTGGGACACATTTGCCCCAAATTTCCTACTATTTCTACCTCTTTAACTTCAGAGCTATCACAGAGAGCAAGGCACCTTTCGTAGTAGGGCATCCTATCTCTGTTCTTCAAGAACTCAGATCTGATCTAATCTGTTTGCTTAGTTATTTATTTATTTAGGACCCTGCAAAATGGAGAGTGGTGTATTTTTACCTAATCAGTAGTTTATATTGATTATGTATATATGGACATATTGTATATGCAGGAGTGATGTCTATAGTTCAGGATGTGAATGATAAAAATTGTAAATATGCATTTGTTTCGATCTCATCTGAGAACAAATAATATTCAGGAGGTTAAAAAGACCCTCTTTATGACTCCCCATGTGGCATGATATTAATATTAATCATATGTAATTTTAACCATGTTAACATAATTATTAAAATATACATGTGATTGCAATTAATTTATAATTTTTATCTTGGATCCTTCCATTAAATTTTGAAGTACACCTTTTGGGGCACAGTTCAAATGTTGCTCTTTGTTCAGAAAAAGTGACCCACTCCTGATTTATATTAGCTATTAAAAATAGTGAATAAAGTGTATGAAGTCCAGAATAAACAGCAGCTATCTGAATAGGCCAGAGGACAGTGAATGCTTGATACTGCACCCCTGAATATTTCTTTCTTTCTTCATTTAAAGTTTACAAAAATTCCTAGTTTCATCAGAAATAATGAACACACTCAAAGAGCTGCTTCAACTAACATACAAGTAACCTAATTTCAGCATTTGAATAATTTTCTGTGCAAATGATATCCACAGAGTGTCATGATGGCTACATCATAGTGAACACAACCATATGATTGAATCCTCATCCTTTGAACATCTGTTCCACTGCCCATAAGAAAGAGTAGGACTTTGATCACTTGGTTATGACCACCATCTTGACTTTTTTGACTCCCTATCAGCAAATACCCCTGAAGTGAAATACAACAAAAGAACCATCATTTCAAATGAGGCAACAATTCTGAGGACTTCTTATATTTCCTTTTCATTGTTCCAAGACAGAACTTGTCATTTTGCCACCTTACCTGTCGGTAGGAAGACAAATTGCTTTCAGCTTCAAGGCGCAGATTAATCTCATCCTGTAATCTTAAATGAGAGTGAGAGAGAGAAGGGTGGAAAAGTAAGGTAGGTTTATTGAATGATCAGTACTCTTCCACCAGAGGCTATACTCAAGGACAAACATCAAGTTCAACGCCCCCTCTCAATCCTTTGCAAATTCCCTGCAGTTCACACACACGCTTCCTCCAAACTTCTGCATGCAATAAATGTTTCTTATTATAATAATTATAATAACTTATTTTTTATTAGGAATACACTGTAAGGCCCACCAAGAGTTGTAAGGAGGGAAATCAACTTTTACCCTTCCATCAACCATTGTGAGGAAGGAAGCCTGGAAAATCTTTTTTGTGCTTCGTGTGGATGTGTGATCTGGGAATCTGACAAATATAGTGAGAAGTGATTAACAGTTTTCAACCGTTCATTCCTTTAATCTCAGGACTTTTAACTGATTTTAACACTTGGCTCTGAGGGGAATATGTAATTTCCAGAGGATAAAATAATGTGAAATGTTTTTATTTTAATATTTCTTCAGAGCTAGCTAGTCTCTTTTCTTGTTATCTATTATCTATTCCATAATTCTAACTGGTCAGCAGGGCAACTCACAGGTACAGTTCCTCAGAGCAGGCATGAATAGCTGCAATATTGGGGCACAAGATGCTATAGGATCATACAGAGAGACAGTTTGGTCTGGTGGTTAAAACATTTGATTAGAAACCAGGAGGCTGTGATTTGAGCCCTGCCTCAGCCATGAAAACCACCTTGTGGATCTTGGGCCAGTCATTTTCTCTCAACACAACTTTCCAGGGTTGTGGTTGTGGGGAAAAACAGGAGGAGGAAAAAGTGATGGATATTTTTGCTGCTTGAGATTTTTGGAAAAATAATAAAGGTGGGATACAAGTAAATAAAAATGTTTCTTATTTGTGGCAAGTCTTCAGCTTAAGTCCAAAGATCACCTGTAAACGTGTCTGTTTAGATCCTCCATATTTGAGGGGCAGTTGTAAGACTGTTCTTAGGGTGCTATAGCTCTCTTCCTGCTGGTCTGTCCCCCCCCCCCCAAATTCCAAGAATATATTTTCCTTGCTCCCTTTCATACTGGTCACAGTCCCATCCATTTCCCTCACCGTAGGCTTCCCTCTTCCAAGTATGGTAAATCCAGCCCAGCATTTAAAAATGGTCTGCCATATTTTACAACCAAAGATATCCTTTAAAAAAGGGAAGTCAGTTTGCTACCTGGCGCAGAGGACACAGTTTGGATCCTCCCCTGTTCCACGTGCAATGTATCGAACAGTGATGGTGAACCTTTTTGGTGCCGAGTGCCCAAAGCGTGTGCACCCCCAAAATGTAATCTGAGTGCCACCCTCCCCTCCCAGGCATGTACATGCATTGCCAGTGTTTGCACCCTACCCCCACATTCCATTTTGGCTCCCAGATTGGTGCAGGAGGCCTTCTAGGCCCAAAATGGGGTGGAGTGGGGGAATGCGCACACACATGCATCCTCAAAATGCAATACAAGTGCCCTGCCCTCTATGCATGTGCAGTGAGCCCCCTGCTGGTGCCCCTGCAGGTGCCCCGTGCACGCACAGCAGCAATCCGGAGACCAGCTGGCTGGTGCGAGGCATGCATGCATGTGCAGTGGAGCTGGGATGGGGCGATGGCTGGCGTGCCTACAGAGAAGGCTCTGCCATGCCATCTGTGGCACGTGTGCCATGGGTTCTCCATCACAGGAATAGAAGTTATATCTTCACTCAATCCTGGGGATACTTGGACAAGCCTTCCTTTGTGGTTGATTAAAGATTATGCAGCAAAGTAGTTGAGGTCATTTATGAATGATAGAAATCTTTTGTCATCTCAGCAACTGCCAACTGAGGAAAATGCTTCCTTCAGTCTAATAATGGGGCCAGCCCTCTCTTGATTTTAAAAATTATATGGTTTGCTCTTACTGTAACACTTATAATGCTCTTGTTTTAAAAATAGTTTGAGTTTCAAGGGAAGACAGTAGCTATACTGAAATGGGGATGGAACAACAGAACTGAGTACTGCCCTACAGTGCTTCCGAAAGTTGGCAATGAATTCTAATTTCAATTGGGACCAAAGGAAGAAATTTGTTAAATATTTGGAATAAATGCAAATTAAGTAAATTTAAATTAAAGCAAATTTAATCTCTACACTGGCTCTGCTGGCTTGTACATGCTATAGTATGGTGCAATGTTATTTGTCTGTCTGTTTATTTATTTATTTAGTTAATTTCTATGGGCCACTCATCTCAGTCAATGAATGGGCAAAACCAACAAAACCAGTAAAGAACATTTAAAACATCTAATTCAAGATAGAAAGAGCAAAATATTTGTCCCGTTAGCAATATAGCCAGGAAATGGGACCCCTGGCACATTCAACAGCTCAGGCTGGGGAACATAGGCTTTTAGGGCTTTGTGAAAGGCTAACAAGATTGGGACCACTCTGATCTCAGAAGGAGAGGATGTTCCATAAAGGAGGGACTATTGCAGAAAAAGCTTGCTTTCTGATCCCAACCAGCCAATATATACAAATTATATATAAAAGTCTGTTCAGGTCTGGTCATCCCAAAGCTGCTTTTTCCAGAGGCAACTGGACTTTCTTGTTTTTTCTTTGAAGATGTTTTGCTTCTCATCGAAGAAGCTTCTTCAACTCTGACAGAATAGTGGGGAATGGAAGAATTTATATTCCTTGCAGACAGCAGATAATTTGCATCCTTTAAGAGGATCCTTGAAGCACTTGGAAGTTTATCTGTGTCCTCAAGGTCACCTGTATAATCCTGTATGTTTAGCTATACAATTTGGGATGAACACCCTTTAAATGGTGTGGGAGTAGGATTGGATTTCCAGAGGAAAAATTCAGACTACAGGAACTAGGAATACTACTCAAGTGACTCTGAAGTCACAGATAAACCTCCAAGTGCTTCAAGGACCTCTAAAGTGATGCATATAACCAGCTGTTTGCAAGGAATATAAATCCTTCCATTCCCCACTATCCTGTCAGAGTTGAAGAAGCTTCTTTGATGAGAAACGAAATGTCTTCAAAGAAAAAACAAGAAAGTCCAGGCTGCCTCCAAAAAAAGCAGCTTTGGGACACACTATGTATATATGCAGTATATATTTACTTGGGTTTCCTATCTACTTGAAATCTCCCAGGAATAATTGAACAATTATAATTCAGAAATAAGAAATGCAGATAATTAGATGAAATGAATTGCCTATTTCTAAATTTTTTACCTTCAAGAAAGTCTTTACATTAATTCACGCTCAGTTTATAAGTTATGCTGACCAGAAATTCAGATTTCACTATCAGATTGTATTATTGAGGAAAATGTTTCTCCCAAACCTCTGCAGCTGGCTGCTACTGCAGGAAAAAGATTAGAATGATTTGGAAGCTTTCACTAAGATAACTTTACCATTATTAATTGTCTTGCTGAAGAAATTTTTCCTCAATGTGGAATTTCTAGGATGTGCTGAAATTGCAGTTCTCAAAATTCTAGGCTACTGAGCTAACTGGAATTTTAGGAGTTGCTGTCTTAATATCTGAAAGGTCCTATTTTGCAGAAAGCTGCTCTAGCTAATTCCATAGCCAAGCAGAATGTGGCAAGGTGATGCAAATATGTCCCTAAAATTATTTGACTAATCTGATTGGTTGAAAAATTGGTTTCAAATGCAGAAGATACAGATCTTGGCTAAATCATCCCTAATGATCACTTTGGAAATCCTAGACTTAGACTGTTTTAAAGCTTAGCATTACCCAACTTCCACCTATACTTCTGTGTTTCAATACTCTGCCCACCCTCATGAAAACTGGAAAGTCTTTCTTACTTTTGCCTGAGATTGTTGAGATCCTCCAGCAAGTTGTCTTTCTCAATCTCCAGCCGGGCTTTAGAGTTGGAGAGTTGGTCTACTTCATGACGTAGCTCCCTCATCTCTTCCTGGTAAATGTCAGCCAATTTATTGGGCTCTTTGTCTCGAAGTTGATTGAGCTCAGCAACAAGAACTTTGTTCTGTTGCTCCAAGAAGCGAACTTTTTCAATGTAGCTGGCAAAACGGTCGTTCAGCTCCATCATTTCCACCTTCTCATTAGTGCGGGTCTCTTTGAATTCACTGTTGAGAGCATCCGCCAAAGAAAAATCCACCTTGTCAGAGAACTTGGGGCCAGAATGGAAACTTAGCCTGGCTGTCTTCAGCTTAGTGACAGAGAACTGGGTAGTGGGAGATGGAGGAAAGTATCTGCGGCCTGGCAAGAACCTCAAGCCATGGTGGACAGAGGTGGTTTGTGAGCCGAAGCGTCTTCCGTAGGATGAGAGTCTATGTCCTTCCATGGTCAAAATGTTTTTGCAGGCTCTGCAAACTCAGGGTTTTCTGTATGAGTGCTGCACAGGGTTTTATGCAGAAGGATTAACCATCCCTGCCTGGTCATACGCCTGTGAAGGGCTGGAAGAGGGGGAGGAATGGGTTGCCTGCCAGGCCCCAACATATTTCATATTTACCATGCCAAGTGCCCTGTGCCCTGGCAAAGAGAGAAAAGAAAGACATTAGGCAAGAGCTTTGAGCATTCTTGATCAAAAAGAGAGAGAAAGCACTTGGATGACTTTGTCCGCCTATGATGGCCACCATCTCCTTGCAACTCACGTGTTAAGGCAATATGATGCTATCAAGACTTAGATCCCCTTGCACCTCCCCCTCCCCACATTGCAATCATTAACCACCTCAGTTACCTTGATCTAAGAGCAGTAGAAAAGGTTTCGGACTGAGAAGTATAGCAAACATTAGCATTTTTGGAATGTGAATAGCACTGTCTGCTTCATTCTCAGCAATCCACTACATTTTATTTAAGCATCTAAATGCCAGAAGTTTGATTCATCTCATAAACAGATAGCTGAAAAACTAATTAAATCAGATTTAAATTTAAATTTAAACTTCTGATTGACTTTCAATTCTAGCAGATCCTTGAAGACAGGGACAAGATTGATTCCCCATAATTTTAGATTTTTTCCCCCCAATTCAAGTTGGAGATATATCTGGTACCATTAAAAGGGACAGAATTAACAAGAATGGGCACACAATCAGTTATATTACTTTTATAAAGAGATATCAGACCAAAATGTGCTTGGAAAATACTTCCACATATGTACTTAGCTATTGTACTTAGCCACATATGTACAAAATTGCTATTCCCAGGTTTGGAATGATAAATCCCATCTTGAAGAAAGTTGCTCTTATTCAAGACTAGTTCATTCTAATATCAGAACTATCTGGTCTGAGACTGTGCTTGTCAGAATCTTTCTCTTGCTTGAACAAGATTAAGAACTAAATAGGGATAAATTGTACTTTAAATAACCAGGTTACATTTTTAAGAATAAAAAAAGGAAAAGATGGCAAAAAGAACCGCCAAGAATGAGTCACATCATTGCTGACATTAACTGGATTCTTGGTTTCTGGCTCTGCTGGGATAAGTAGGTGGAAAGCAGACACTGTTGGCTGCTCTCAAATAATAAATGATTTTGCCAATTACAATGCATATTCATTTATGGTGGTCAGACCTTTCCCACCTACTTTATATAGTACAATTTTAATTGCAAATAGGCTTTGACGCTCCCAGTTCTCTGGAAATTACTATGGTTGGGAAAGAGTTTGAGCCAACTCCTTGTCTGCCTGCCACACCCCTGGTCTGCAGCTGTCTCATCTCATTTCAGTTCTTGCTTAACTACCACTCCCCCCACAATTTTCTGAACAGTCCTGGCTGACCAGGCCCTGCGTCCCTCTGGAGCCAGAAGCAGACAGTCCCACAAAAGGCCTTACTAATAGACCTGAGGCCACAGCATGAGCTCTTTTCTTAGAACAGAAGGAGCTCTGTACTCTATGCCCTGTCCCAAACTGTCCAGTTTCATGCTCATCATTGCAAGATTGATACCAACTTCCCAGCCCAATTGCCATTGTCAGGAAAACTGAGAATTGCTGAAAGAACACAGTGTCCCCAGGGAAAAAATTGACAAAAACAAAGAAATCAAGATTAACGGGGTGTGGGGTGGGAGGGGAAGCATTGATGAAAACCTCTGTCAAAAAGAACTTTGAGAAACTGTAGATGGCCCAAGTGGTACATGATTAAAGAACTTCATGCCAGCAAAAAGCTTCCAAATATATTTCTAGTATCATACATTGCTTCAGGGGTAATGCTTTTATTTAGGCTGAAAGTCAGACTTCTGCCTTCGACTTTACCAGATCATTCTAAATATGAACTGTCTAAAGCAGGGGTGGGAAACTATGGCCCCTTTATGACCTGTGAACCTCGACTCCCAGAATTCCTGAGCCAGCATGGCTGGAATCAAAGTCCACAGGCCACAAAGGGGCCAAAGTTCCCCATCCCTGGTCTAAAGTCACATGATACAGGAACTGCAAGCCCAAATCAACTGTATTTGTTCATATGAGGTTTTTTTTTTAAATAGGATATCTTTGTATCTTGTCCACAGAGGATGGTTTGGTCATTTGAAAGTTTATTCTGGCCACCCATCAGACAAGAGCTTTGAAGTTGTTTCTTCCATCAAATTAGTATCGGAGGTGGATAGTCTGAGGTAGTCTCCCTTCCGCCATTCCTGGCTCAATTGGCTTGGGACAGGGTTTATCTTTTTATTATATGCATTTATCCATGACTTTGACATCACTCAAAGAGAGTTTTTCATGCCAAAGCCTAAATGTGTTTATTCAATGGTAAAAAGCAAATGAACAGACAGAATAAAAACAACAATGAAGGAAGAGAAAGACACTTGGCTTTAGGGGAAGGGGGTTACTGTATTCCCAAATGTATTCAGGTCTATCACAGAAAGAATATGTAGGAAGCTTATGCTTTTGTCTATTCTCCATGTTCATTCTCAGGCTTTTGAGTAATACTCCAGCAAGGTGTAAAAGGAGATGGACCTCCAGAATCTTCTAGAGTAAGCAAAAGCTTATTGACTTTTGTCCTCTTGGTTTGAATGCTATCCTTGATTTTTTAAAAAACCTTTTAGCTAATGCTTTTCTCAAACATTGCCCCACTTCCTTCTCTATTTTCCAAAAAAACCCCAAACCATATCTGGTTTGTCCATATATCATTACTGATACATTCTGAAGTAGGATACAAATTGCTTTATATAGTGATGTAAACAAGACTGAACAAGTTTATTCTTCAACATGTTGGAATATAACTCCTGCAAAATCTCACTTTGCATGCATGTGCTCAGTGGTGGGAGTTACATTTTTTTTACTACCAGTTCTGTGGGCGTGGCTTGATGGGCGTGACCATTTTGGTCCCTGCATCCCCTCTGATACATTGCTTGGCCCTCCGCATCCCCCTGGAAGCTCCATTTTGGCATGCAACAAACCAGGGGAGGCCTCTGGATGTCCAAACAGAGTTTCTGAAGGACAGATGTGCCCCTCAAAAGCTCCATTTTGGCTGGCCACATTTAGAATGAATGTTGCAGAATCTCTGAGCTTGTTTGTAAGGGTGAACAACTGCCGTGGAGCTGCAAGATTCATAGTTTCAGGACTTGTTCGCAAATGATAGGGCCGTGATGATGAACCTAAGGCACGCATGTCACAGGTGGCACATGGAGCCATATCAGCCAGCATGCGAGCCATCAGCTCCAGTGCGCATGCATGTGCCAGCCGAACAGCTGGAGAGGACAAAAAATGGGCCCAATGGGCCAACCATAAGTTCAGAAATGATTTGTTTCTAGCTTATGGAGGACCTCCAGGGAGCTGGGGGAGATCATTCCCCCCCCCACAGGCTCCAGGAAAGCCTCCGGAGCCTGGGGAGGGTGAAAAACGGGCCCAGTGGGCCAACCAGAGGCCCATTTTTCACCCTCCCACAACTCTGAAGGCTTTCCTGGAGCCTGGGGAGGGTAAAAACGGCCTCCCCTGCCCGCCAGAGGAAATACGAAGCTAGCTTGGAGGCAAGCAGTGTGGCATGCATGACAGGGGGAAGGAGCGTGAGGGAGGTTGTGCTTGCATGCTCATGTTGGGGCATGCTTTGCATTATCAGTGCCAGCACACACATGCACTATCACACACGTACCCTCACATTTTTGGCGCCCAACAACAGAAAGGTTCACCATCACTGTGCTAGGGGGTACTTAGTATATAACTTCAAACTTTCGCTTAGGGAACACTCGTAACCCAGAGATTACCTGTACAATACTCAATTTATAACCACAATTGAGTCCCAAATTTCTGTAGCTAACCTAAACAGTTAAGTGCGTTTTGCCCCATTTTACGATGTTTCTTGCCACAGTTATTAAGTGTAGTTATTCAGCTAGTAACCCCGTTGTTAAGAGAATCTGGCTTCCCCATTGACTTGTCAAAAAGCTGCAAAGGGGGATCACATAACCTTGGGACACTGCAACCATCATAAATATGAGTCAGTTGCCAAATGTCTGAATTTTGATTAAGTGCTTGTGGAGATGCTACAATGTTTGTTAGTGTAAAAAATGGTTATAAGTCACCTTTTTCAAGTGCTGTTGTAACTTGGAACAATCACTAAGCAAACTGTTGTAAGTCAAGGACTATCTGTACTAACTACCATACTACAATATTGTAAATGTTGTAGTAGTTGACCTACAGCATTAGTAGTGTCCATGTCTTTGCACTTATAATCTTGCTGTCACATATTAATTGATGCCCTTATGATACCTTAGCCTGTATCTTGATTGTCCTGTTCACTACAGCCAACCACACCAAAGTACCATTGTGACTAACTTGCTATTTGGGAAAATTTTGCAACCATGTACCTATAGAACAGATTGTGGCTCCTCTTGTCCCTGGCTTATCTCCAGATTTAATTGCCTCTCTGTGTAAAGCCCCCTGCCCTGAAAATGAAGGTCAAGGCAGTTGTTTGCCAGCTCCTGAGTCTTTTAAGCATGTCACCCATTGGAACAGAAAGAAAAGACTGTTGTTTGGCTGTTGGGCAAGACTTGGATGCTGTGAATAGGATGCCGGGGGGAGGGGGGAGTTGTCTGTGCATAGCAATTAAATCTTCTTTATCCCACATGATGGGGGACTTGGCACGTCTCTGAGGAACTACCTATAAAACTCAGTTGGACATTTCAGCCCTGCAAAGTTCTGGGAAACAACGCAGCTTCAGCAATAGAGGAGGTGGCTAGTCTTAGGGGCATTGATGAACCTTTGTAGCTTTTCTTTTAAATGAGATTTATTCTAGTAAACAAGATCAGATATAGCAACTGGAACACACTTTAAGCTGGTATCTCCATTTGGATGTAACTGTGCTTGTTATATTTTGCACCATGCATTTTTCCTGTCTTGTATTTAATCAGTAAACAGAGGCATCCAGAGAGGATGGTCAAAAAGGTCAAAATGGAGAATGTTATTGTGCAGTTGA